CAGTTCAGAACCGCACGAATACGCCATCGCTTGAAGATGTACGCAGCTTGATGTTGAGTTATGAAACAAGAATTGAAAGTCGGAACACTGTAGAGCAATTAAATGTCATTCAAGCAAATATGGCAAATTTGAACTTCTCCAACAATATTAAGAGGCCACCCAACCATTCCATTTTTTCACCAGCTAGAGGCAAAGGCCATCAGTCCACTAATTTTTCTTTTTAGCATCAACCATATGAAATCTGGGACAAGCCACCACAAAGTACTCCACCTACGTACTAACCAAAAGTGGCAGAAAGGACAATCATCCAACTCTAGGCCTATTAGTATTGCTAAACTTTGTAATGGTAATCATGCTCTTGTTGAGTTTTATCCTTCTCATTTTTTTTGTGGAGGACATTCAATCCAAGAGAATACTCCTTGGGGTTAACTTGAAGATGGCCTATACAAATTATAACCCACTAGTTCTCTTCCTCAACGAAATTCCAACGTTGGCAACACAGCGGTAATCTTTCTCTCAACTATCCAAGATCCTCTTCTCTGGCATCATAGATAAGGACATCCAACTTTTCCTATTGTAAAGAAAGTTTTGAACTCATGTAATCTAAATTTTAGGAACAATCAGAATTTTGATTTCTGTTCCTCTTGTCAAATGGCCAAAAACCACAGATTACCATTTTCTTTATCTAAATCAAAATCAACTTTTCCCTTTCAATTAGTTAATTTATATCTATGGGTCCTTCACCTATTAATTCTCTTACTGGTGCCCGATTTTTTATTTTATTTGTAGATGACTTAGTAGAAATACTTGGTTGTATCTACTTCAAAACAAAAGTGATACTCTTGCAGCCTTTATTCATTTCAAAACAATGGTTGAAAATCAATTTAATTGTTTTATTAAAGCTTTTCAAACCAATTGGGGTGGAGAGTTTCGTATTGTGTCCATCTTTTCAGCTTTTCATGGTATTCATCATTGCGTTTCTTGCCCTCATACTCCTCAGCAGAATGGTAAAGTTGAGAGAAAGAATCGCATGTTGTTGAGGTTGGTCTTTCTCTTCTTGCTCATGTGCCTCTTAAATTTTGGACTTATGCTTTCCAAACTGCTGTTCATATCATAAATCGTTTTCCTATGGGTGTTCTCAATTTTGTCAGTCCTTATGAAAGGCTTTACAAACTTATTCCTAATTATAGTCTTCTTAAATCTTTTGGTTGCGCATGTTTTCCCTTTCTTCGCCCTTATGCTCATAAGTTAATGTTTCACTCTATTGAGTGTATTTTTCTTGGCTATAGCCTTCACCATAAAGGTCATTTGTGCCTTGATCATGCCTCTGAAAGAGTTTATGTTACCCGTCATGTCATTTTTAATGAATCATCGTTTCCTTTCGCTTCAAATCCTTCTTTACTTGTTCCACAAATTCACCAATTTCACAAATCATTCTTATTTTATTCCTCCCCATGTACATCCTACCATCCTTCTACATCCTCTACTTCTCCTTCTCATATTCCTTCCACCGCTCATATTTCTCCATCACTATCCCTTTCTCTCTCTCCTGTGACCACATGCATCACCTACTAGCCAACCCATTGTTTTCTCTCTCAACCAACCTTCCCCTGCTACAACTATCACCTCATTACCTTCCCCACTTCCAATTCCTTAACACCAATCCCACATCAGCCCTCTATTGTACCTAACCCCACCCCTACTCCAGTGAATATTCATCCCATGATGACTCGAGCAAAGGATGAAATTTTCAAACAAAAATTATGGCTTGCAAACTATGTTGATGCCAAACCCTCTTTGGTCTCTGAACCCACGAGTTATAAGGTGGCCATGGCTGATCCAAATTGGAAATAAGCCATGCTCACGGAATATGAAGCTCATATTCGAAATAATACTTGGTCTTTAATCTCACCCAGTCCAAACTGCAAAGTTATCGGTTGTCGATGGGTGTATAAGCTGAAACTTAAACCATCTGGTGAGATTGAAAGATATAAAGCTTGATTGGTCGCTCAAGGTTTCAACCAAGTCCAGGGGATTGATTATTTTGAGACTTTCAGCCCGGTTATTAAATCGACAACCATTCGATTGTGCTCTCATTGGCTGTTAATTTTAATTGGAAGGTGCGTCAACTTGATGTCTAAAATGCCTTCTTAAATGGTGACTTAGAAGAGGAGGTTTTCATGAAACAACTACCGGGTTTTGTTGACAGTGATAATCCGACTCATGTTCTCGAATTGCATAAGGCACTTTATGATTTAAAGCAAAGCCCACGTGCTTGGTTTCTTAAATTGAGCTCCTGTTTGTTAAGTTGCGGTTTCTTTGGAGCAAAATCTGATACTTCCATGTTTATTTATCGAGACACTTCTTCCATTGGTATCTTCTTAATTTATGTTGAAGATATTCTTGTTACCGGAAATAATTATCCCTTAATTCAACATTTTATTTCCTCACTTAGCACCAGTTTTTTTACTGAAGGATCTTGGAGATCTCTCGTACTTCCTTGGCATTCGAGTGGCACGTGATAAAGATCTATTGCATATGTCCCAGACAAAGTACATTGTAGACCTCTTAAAGAAAGCTGCTATGTTTGAATGCGTAAGCCCATATCAACCCAAATGGCTGCTGGTCAAATTTTGGCCCTTACTGATGGGCAATCTCTCTCTGATCAAACGTCTTACCGCAGCTTGGTTGGAGCTCTCCAATATTGTACCTTAACAAGACGGGACATCAGTCATTCAGTTAACAAATTGTGTCAGTTTCTTCATGCTCCTACCAGAGTCCACTAGCAAGCTCTTAAGCCTTTAATACGTTATTTGAAGACTACAATCAACCTTGGTATTTTGTTTACAAAATCTCAGACTAAAGCATTAATATGTTATACGGATTCTGATTGGGCTAGTTGTCCTGATGATAGACGTAGCACTAGTAGTTTCTGTGTATTTTTTGGAAATAATTTAATCTCAGGGTGTCCTCTAAGCAGAAAATTGTTTCCAGATCAAGCGCGGAATCCGAATATCGAGGTATGTCCAATGCCACTGCTGATATTGTTTGGATTGAGTCAGTTTTAAAGGAGATTGTATTTCCTTGTCTTAGTCCATCTTTATTAGTTTAGGCTAATATCAGTGCCACGTACATTGCCGCTAATCTGATCCAACATCATCGAACCAAGCATATTAAAATAGATAATCATTTCATACGTGAACGGGTTGTTCAAAAGCAGCTTGTTGTTCGATCCGTGCCGTCTGAGGACAAATTAGCTGATATCATGACTAAACCTTTGTCTTCTCCACGCTTCAGTAATCTTCGTACCAAGCTCACTGACACTTCACTGCCCGTTCACTTGAGGGGATGTTTGATTGAGTTTATTACCATGTTAATCTCTAGCTTAGTATTTCCTTTATCTTATTTAATGTATTGTTTTGTATTGACTTATCACTTTGTGACACATGTTCTGTCCTTTGCTATTTAATGGTCACTGTAGCCTCAGCCCCTTTTTGCTGAGAGCTCTTCCTTCTTTTCTCTCTTGTCCAACATATTCCATGCAGGTTGCTTTAATCACTTACTTAGGGTGTGTTTTTGAATGACCAAAATCACTTTTTTTTATTGTCAAAATCACTATCTTTTTTATTTGACAAATAAAAAATTGATTTTAAGAAAGTTTAAAATCAGTTTAAATTCATTTTTAAAGTATCATTGATTTTAGAAAATCAATTATATTAAATATATATTTTTTTCAAAACCACTTATTCTACCATCACTCCCCCAACACACCCTTACTTATGTAATCAAATGCAGATTTTAGTGTATAGCCCAAACTTTATAAATATTAGATACATGAATACATAGCCCCTAATGTTTTTTTTCCTTTGAAATTTTAATTTATATTGCTTTAGAAAATGTTAAATCATTTTTTTAAAATATATTTACCTATGGGTGCCTTTAAGGATTTTTTTTAACATTAAAAATGTAGCATTATTTTTAAAACTTTTATAAATATGTATTTCCTTAAAACTAATTACAAATATATATTTTCTAAATAATTTATTACTAAATATGACATTTTAAAAAAATTATAAATAATTTATTAACTTAAATAATAGTGCTGCTCAGTCTAGGCGACGAATCGGATTATAAGGATCCACTAATATAAGCCACATGACATCATTGAAAAGAAAAACTTTATATAATAGTAATTTATATACTTTTATTTGATGTGATGATCATTAATTAATCTATATCGATGATTCATTTAGATATTTACTGACTGTATTAATAAAAATGACTTGTTAAAGTAAATATAAATTAGGCCAAATTTGCAACCTACCTTAAGTTATGTAGTATACTACTATTTGTTCGGTTTTGACAAAGTATTAAAATTAAAATTTATCCCACATCGAAAATATACAAGGGGATAGTATGCTCACGAAGTAGTAGAAGTTGTCCCACATCGAAAAGTACGAGGAGGTGTGTTCCAACTAATATAGAGCTTATGAGCTTAGATTTTAATCATCCCAATTGAAATATTTAAGCCTGGTATATCAACTCTAGTTAACTGAGCAGTAGTACTTGTTACTAATATATATTAGTAAAGCAGTGGTAGTTACCAATATGTAGTTTAATCTAAAATATTATTAATTAATTTATTAACATATATTACAAATTTTGTATAATTATTATTTTCAATATTTGTTTTCAATATTTTAATTTATAAAAAAATGAAATGAATTTATAACACATAATAGTATATTTATGAACGTTTTATTTTTCTTAAATGTAGTTTCCGCATTTTAAATTTTCAAATTTATAATATGAAAACACTATTGTTTTCGAAAATAGTTTCCGAAAACAAATGTGAGTGAATCTGAAAAACAAGAAATAAACTCGAATCCGAAGTTTCTGGCCCGAATTACACAAAGAATGAGTTTAAAAGAAAACAAGAGAGTAGTATATTTACCAAGAGGAGGATTTTTTTTTCTTTTTAATTTTTTTATTATTAATATCTAAGCTTGATTTTCAATTTCAGGGCTGTTGTCAGATACAAGGAGAACAAAGCAGCGGCACAGCGGGCAACCGCGCTCCATAGTGAGCCACTGATCGACGCAATCCTTATGGAAAAAATGGCCGCATTTCTCAATTACTCGGCACACTTGTTTCTCCTCAAATCCCTCGAAACATATCGCGCAGTCCCTGTCGGAATCGATAATTTCCTCTGCCTCGATGATTGCAACGGCGGTTGCGGAGGCTTCTTCCACCGTCTGTGGTGGCGGAGACGGCTGCTGCCGTGCTCTTTCGGACAAAACTATAGTGAAAACTCGAGATACTTGAACTCTGGATTCGATATCGTCGTAGACTCTTGTTTGAGACAGCATGATGCGTCGGTGGTATGAATAAAGGATGAAAAATAACACAATTAAACTAAAACAGATGAATCCCACAAACCCAAACCCGATCTTCGGGTCAAAAGTACTTCTATGAGTAATCACGACAGTTACTGGCAGCGAATACTGCACGGAGAAACTCGGCGGAGGAGTCGGTGGAAAAGACATGATTGAATAGAATATGAAATTAAGTTTCCTTCAATATATAACAAGCGAAAGGTGAAGACTCAAACTGGCGATTTTGTACGGGATATATAACTTAACATACCCTAGGTTTGGCTGGCTCAATATCCTTATATGGAGAGGGAATTGAAACCCTTTTCAAATTAGGAAAGTTTCTTAAAAGATATATGAATTTTAATTTGTTTGTTATTTTTTATTTTATTTTTCAAAGAAATTCACGCGTTAGTTAAGCATGATTAGGAAGTTGCACTGCAATGGGAAACCTTCCAAAATAATGTTTACTCTAATGGTTTGGTCGTCTTTATAGTTTGTAATTTGGCTAACTATATCATTATCACTAATTCTTAGAATAACTTTTAGTTTCGCCTTTTAATCTTTTAAATTATTCATTTTACCATCGCTGAATTTGAGATATTCCATTAAAAAAATAGTAATAATAAATAATAGAAAGGATTTCTCTGATGGTACGTGCTTAGAGTTTTGAGGTACCACCTACTTTGAAGTTTCAAGTTCGAGTTCTATGTTGATCACAGTGTTACTCAGACAACGAGTCCTAATTATAARAATCCACCGCTACTACAAAAAACTACCTTAGTTTTTAGAAATTCAAACTACGATTTTTAAAAATTGCAATCATTTTTAGCAACCATAGTTTAACAACATATAATAGACTAAAAATATATACGGTCTAAAGCATACGTTTACACCATGGTTATAAAAACCATGATGTATAGATAAATATTGATATATTTTTTTACTATAATTGTGGTCTATCAACTTTACACCACGGTTTAAAAAACTCTATTCTAGAGACCTATATTTTTTACTACTTGTGATCTAAAATCCAAATTTACATAGAGGTCCAAAAAATCGTGGTCTATGGACCATATTATTGAAATAATTGACCACAATAATCCCACTTTACACCATGATCCAAAAAAATCATAGTCTATAGGAGTTTACTTTTGACTACATCTAAAAGTTCACTTTATAAAAAATTGAATTTTGAAAAATTATATCTTAAATCTAATTTTGAATATATCACTATTAATTTTCTTTAAAAAATTAAGAAAAAGTAATCTACAAACCAATTTAGAAGAGTTAAAAAAAAAAGAAAATTATTTCAAAAAATATAAAAACGTTATTTTCGTTTTAAAAATTTAATTAACATTCTAGTTTAGAAATTAGAATTTTCACGCTTTTCAGAAATTTTAATTAAAAAACGTTTTCTAAAAGGGGAAGATATTTCAAGTAGAGTTTACATCATGTCTCAGCATGATTAAGCTTAATTGTTTTAGAAAAAGCATGATTAAGCTTAATAAAAAATGTTATCAGCATTTAATTTTCAAAATTGACGTTGAAATTTAATTTTAATTAATAAATGAAAATTATTTTTAAATATTTATTGATATTCCAAATTGAAAATTGATATATTTGATTTATTTGGAATATATAAATATAATTGTTTTCTCAGAAAAAAAATAAAGCAATATACCCATCCGCAGAAGAGTAAAAAAAGAAAGCAAATAATTTCAAAAGAATTAAAAGACGTATTTTTAAATATAATTAACAAATCAATTTAAAATTTAAAATACTAAATTTTATTTTTTATAATTAACCATCAATTTAGAAGAGAAAAAATAAAACTTTTCCTTTTTTTTTTTTGGTTTAATACAGAACTGAATTTTAATTTAGAAAGTAACAAAATTTTATTTAGGTGGTTAAAATTAGGGTCTCGAATTTTCACTTCGCCGTAATTTCCTCTCTTTTACACCTGCGCCGTCGACAACCCCAAAGAATCAATCGTCGCTTCTTCAGCTTCGCCGGCCGATATTGCGACTCTCACAGCCTAGCGTCGTGTTGCCAAATCGCGACTTCCATGATCTCGATGCCTGTTGCAAAGTTCATGACGAATGTGTTGAAAGAAAAGGTTATTGCCCATCTA